CAGGAGACCCTTACAGAATCATAGAATAACAGGTCTGGAAGGGACCTTAGAGGTCTTCTAGTCCAACCCTCTTCTAAAAGCAGGAGACCCTTACAGAATCATAGAATAACAGGTCTGGAAGGGACCTTAGAGGTCTTCTAGTCCAACCCTCTTCTAAAAGCAGGAGACCCTTACAGAATCATAGAATGACAGAGTTGGAAGGGACCTTGGAGGTCTTCTAGTCCAGCCCCCTCCTAAAAAGAGGAGACCCTTACAGAATCATAGAATAACAGGGTTGGAAGGGACCTTGGAGGTCTTCTAGTCCAGCCCCCTCCTAAAAAGAGGAGACCCTTACAGAATCATAGAGTAACAGGTCTGGAAGGGACCTTGGAGGTCTTCTAGTCCTACCCCCTGCTCAGGCAGGAAGCCCTAGACCGTTTCACTTCAATGGCTCCCCAATCTCTTCTTCAAAACTTCCAATGTTGGAAGCCAGGGTGAGGCCAGTCCCCCCAGCTGCTTCTCACCCACAACCGACCCCCGAATTTTGCTGGGACCCCAATCCTTTTAATGACCCAACAGTTCTTCTAAAGACCCCCGTCCCCAAAAGCGCAGGGGTGACTCAGCCCGACTCGCCAAGGGATTTCCCTGCCCGCCCACAGCAAGCGGGGTTAGGTAAGAGCCCGGCACCCCTTGCCCCCCCCCTCCCCTCCCCACGGGATGAGCTCACAGGGTTAGGCAAGCGCCCGGGCGCCTTCCCTTCCTCCCGGCTGCCCAGCCTCCTTGCTCCTGGCCCTCCTGGCCCCACCTCGCCTGCTCCCCCCCTGGCCAAGGCCTGCCCTCCAATCTGGGCTGGAGAACCTGCGGAGCCAGACAGGTTTTGTGGAATGGTTAACCTGGGGCAATCCCATCCTGAGCCAATCACCTGAGCCGCGGACTTCAGCGCTCGGGCACCTGCTCCAAAACTTCCCTGGGCGAAGGAGAGAACACCTCTGGCAGCAAACCGAGCCTTCCTGCCCAGCCATGCGCCTCATCCTCGGGAGCCTGATGATGCTCCACTGCCTGCTGGGGGCTGCCGTGCCAGGACCCCCCCAGGAACCAGCGGTGCAGGAACTCTGGACTCTCCTGTCCGGCAGCCGCGAAGGCGTTCTGCCCCGTCGCTCCGTGGATGCCCTGTTAAATATCGCAAGGTCCCGGGTGCAGTGCTCCGCGGTGCCGTGTGAAAAGGTAGAGTGGGGGTAGCAGGCGGGCGGGGTCTCCCTGGCAGCTGGAAAACCCTGGGTCAAACTCCAGCGTGGGTGCAAAGGGCTGGGGCGCCAGGCAGGAAAGCTGACGGCAGCCGCGGTAGCAGCTGCAGGATTGGGGGGAAGGGGGCGAAGGAGAAGAGAAGCGGGGAGGGGGACTTTGGCATGGCTTTGCTGACCCCGGCAGCCCCCCACCCCCCAATTTCTTCGCTTCTCCAGCCCAGGCGAGCGCAGGCGAGCCACTGCCCTGGGCAACCTGTCTTCAGACCGCTCCATCTGCTTGGCCGTTCCAAAAGAATACAGAATGATAGAGTCGGAAAGGGACCTGGGAGGTCTTCTAGTCCAACCCCCTCTTCGGGCAGGAAAACCCTATATCACTTCAGACGAACCATTGTCGGATTTCTGCTTTAAAACCTCCAGTATTGGAGCACCCACAACTTCTGGTGGCAACTTCTGTTCCACTGGTTCGTTGTTCTCACATTCAGGATATTTCTCCTTTTAAGTTGCTTCTCTCCTTGATTAGTTTCCATCCGTTGTTTCTTGTCTCGCCTTCTGATGCTTTGGAAAATAGGCTGACCCCCTCCTCTTTCTGGCAGCCCCTCAAATAGTGGACTGCTGCTATCAGGTCACCCCTAGTCCTGATTTTCATTAAACTAGACATACCCAATTTCTGCAATCATTCTTAACAGAATAACAAGAGCTGGAAGGGACCTTGGAGGTCTTCTAGTCCAACCCCCTGTAGAAAACCTTGTATCATTCCAGACAAATGGTTGTCCAACCTCTTCTTAAAAACTTCCAGTGTTGGAGCATTCACAACTTCTGGTGGCAAGCTGTTCCCCTGGTTAATTGTTCTCAATCTCCACCAGGAAATTCCTGCTTATGAAAGACCCTATATATATACATATAGAGTGAGCGTACTCTTAATCTGTGACAGCCCCAAACTTGGGGGATTCTGTTCACCCCTATCCGGGGTTACTAAATTGACTTCACCGGCAGAAGAACCGAGATGGAGGAAGCTGCAACGCACAGAAACTTCTGCTTTTGAACGTTTTCGGGGCTTTTTGGAAATGAGTTAGTCGGAAAAACTGAGACCGGATAAGGCAGGGTGGGGGCTGCGGGGTTAGCAGGCAGACCACAGGAGGAAGTTTCACTTAGATGAAAGAAATGGGTTGGGGGTTGAAATCAAGAGGGAGCAGCCTGGGGAGGGAGGGTCTCNTGTGTGTGTGTGTGACATGATCCCCTTTTGCGACCATCGGTCCAGCAAAATCAAACGGGGGAGCCGGATTTGCTGAACAACTGTGCTATCAACTTCATCATTGCGGTGATTCCCTTAACAACCGGGGCAAGAAAAGTCGTAAAACGGGGCAAAACTCCGTTAACAAACGTCTCGCTTAGCAACCGAAAGCGTTGGGCTCCGTGGTGGCCGTAAGGTGAGGACGATCTGCAGAGCAGGAACAAAGAAACCGACGCTTGCCAAGTTCCCCTTGAACCCGGATCTTGCAAGCTTTCAACTGTGCCAATGTTCTTGGCTGGGACTGCAGGGCCCCCCCCTCCGCCTCTGTCCCCCCCCCATCTGTGTGTGGGTGTGTGTGCATGCGTGTGCATGGGACACGGAGAGGGTCTGTTGTGTCACACAAGGCTGCTTTCACCAACCCCTTCCACACCACTTTTCCTGGCCGGCTCTGTGGCAAACGAAAAGCCAATCCTGCCTCAGTGTCTCTATAGGACAGTGTTTCTCAACCTTGGCCACTTGAAGATGTCCGGACTTCAACTCCCAGAATTCCCCAGCCAGCATTCGCTGGCCAAGGTTGAGAAACACTGCTATAGGACTTTCGCCATCCGGTTGGCTGGGCACCCCCACATTTTGGGTGAATATGTCTTCAAATCCGGGTCCCCTTTGTGGTTCTCCTCTTCTGAGCATCAAAACATCCTCCTCCGTCTCTCCAAGATGCCCGTGGTGGGAAGGACAAGGGCTCTTCAAACATGGGCAGAGGCTATGCCTTATCTGCCCCTCAGCTCAAGAGGAGGGGAGGATCAGCAATAACGGAATAACAGAATGACAGGGCTGGAAGGGACCTCGGAGGTCTTCTAATCCAGCCCCCTCCTAAAAGCAGGAGACAGAATCATAGAATGACAGGGTTAGAAGGGACCTTAGAGGTCTTCTAGTCCACCCCCCTCCTAAAAAGAGGAGACCCTTACAGAATCATAGAATAACAGGGTTGGAAGGGACCTTAGAGGTCTTCTAGTCCAGCCCCCTCCTAAATGGAGGAGACCCTTACAGAATCATAGAATAACAGGGCTGGAAGGGACCTTAGAGGTCTTCTAGTCCAGCCTCCTCCTAAAAGCAGGAGACCCTTACAGAATCATAGAATAACAGGTCTGGAAGGGACCTTAGAGGTCTTCTAGTCCAACCCTCTTCTAAAAGCAGGAGACCCTTACAGAATCATAGAATAACAGGTCTGGAAGGGACCTTAGAGGTCTTCTAGTCCAACCCTCTTCTAAAAGCAGGAGACCCTTACAGAATCATAGAATAACAGGTCTGGAAGGGACCTTAGAGGTCTTCTAGTCCAACCCTCTTCTAAAAGCAGGAGACCCTTACAGAATCATAGAATAACAGGTCTGG